GTAATTCCTATGCACTGTACATTTATTCTGCACCACAGAATTCACATACCACAATGTAATGAAATGTATATAGGAGAAGGCTTCGTAAGTGTGTCACTTGTGCCTAATCCATTTTGTTTTCCGAAATAAAATATGTTTACATCAATGCCGCCGCTGGTAGTTTAATTTGTGAAAAATAGCAGGACATTCAGCTGTCGGGGCTATTGGTCAGTGGCTGATTGACGGTTTGTGATGGCGCCAGCTGGGGTAGGAGACGACACACTTTCCAAATTATTTCTCAACCTTATCTAATGCTAATTCAACAAGAGACACAGAGACACATAGTTTTTGATAGAGGCTACTTGTTATAATATATTGTTTATTAAAATATGTAAAACTGTGTATCTCTGGCTGTCTTGTCATCCCTTCATTCAGTAAAGTGGACTGTTCCAACTACCCACATTACCTAATTATAAATCTCATCCAGGCATGGCATACCCATGTCACCTAATTGTATTTTGGTACCTTGTGAGGAGAAATTAGGCGATCTGGGAGGACACCGTTATATCATCTAACATGGCCAACTTTGCTCTTAAGTAAACAAGATCCTAATCAGTGAGGGGTCCTTTATCATCCATATTTGACTGCTTATAAAAATCTTATATCTCTCCTCACAGCTGGTTAATATATATTTTTGCTGCTGAATATTCGAAACAGAGTGATTGAGTTGGTACAACACATGTATACGGTTCCATTTTAAATGACTGCAGCGCTCCATTATGAAAACAAGTTGTTTTAACGCCGCTCTCAGCAGCATTCCAGTGATATATGACAGCGGTCTGTTGTATATGAAATAAATGCAAATTGTATCTTGAATCTTGAAAGTTGCAGCTTTTCCGCATATCAGTATCACATGCAGTATACAGTATATCAACTGCAATATACTGTATACAACATGCAGTATACAGTGTGTCGCGAGCTCCGCGCTGGGCTGGAGCACACATTTCCTGCCCCTCTCCCTTCAGCAAACACCTCATGGGGGGTGTAACGAGGTCATAAAGTATGTTTAAATCAATACCGCCGCTGGTAGTTTAATTTGTGAAAAATAGCAGGACATTCAGCTGTCGGGGCTATGGGTCAGTGGCTGATTGACGGTTTGTGATGGCGCCAGCTGGGGTAGGAGACGACATACTTTCCAAATTATTTCTCAACCTTATCTAATGCTAATTCAACAAGAGACACAGAGACACATAGTTTTTGATAGAGGCTACTTGTTATAATATATTGTTGATTAAAATATGTAAAACTATGTATCTCTGGCTGTCTTGTCATCCCTTCATTCAGTAAAGTGGACTGTTCCAACTACCCACATTACCTATTTTTAAATCTCATCCAGGCATGGCATACCCATGTCACCTAATTGTATTTTGGTACCTTGTGGGGAGAAATTAGGCAATCTGGGAGGACACCGTTATATCATCTAACATGGCCAACTTTGCTCTTAAGTAAACAAGATCCTAATCAGTGAGGGGTCCTTTATCATCCATATTTGACTGCTTATAAAAAATCTTATATCTCTCCTCACAGCTGGTTAATATATATTTTTGCTGCTGAATATTCGAAACAGAGTGATTGAGTTGGTACAACACATGTATACGGTTCCTTTTTAAATGACTGCAGCGCTCCATTATGAAAACAAGTTGTTTTAACGCCGCTCTCAGCAGCATTCCAGTGATATATGACGGCGGTCTGTTGTATATGAAATAAATACAAATTGAATCTTGAATCTTGAAAGTTGCAGCTTTTCCGCATATCAGTATCACTTGCAGTTTACAGTATATCAACTGCAATATACTGTATACAACATGCAGTATACAGTGTGTCGCGAGCTCCGCGCTGGACTGGAGCACACATTTCCTGCCCCTCTCCCTTCAGCAAACACCTCATGGGGGGTGTAACGAGGTCACAGGTCAGGCGTGAACTCGTCAGTTGTCTAATACGGTCAAGAGTAGGATCTTCCGGACTATCACTGCACTAGAGGAATGTGGATTGTTGATGACGTACAACGTGTTTGGAACTGGGAGTTGAACACTAAGCACTTATAGAGAAGAGCTCACCATAAAACGTTATGGACGTACATGTATCAAGTTGAACTTCTACGACAGATATAACTTGGTTACCGCTTCCTAACTGTAACATTAACTGAACTTTACGCCTTTTATACATATTTGTGATGGGGCGACAATGCGACAACGAGACATATTTTGACATTGAAAAATGTCGCGTTACGGCATTGTCGCACTTTTGTAAAATATAGAAAAAGATTATTCAAAGAGCGACAATGCGACAACGCGACAATGCGACAAATGGCCAAAATATCGCGTTGTCGAATTGTCGCGCTTTGGTTAATTTCGACACGTTTTGCTTGTTTTTGTAAGGGCGTCAATGCGGCAATACGACAACGCGACAATGTCCCTTCCAAGATTACATAGTGATCCGTGCACATAAAACTGAGTTATGAAATAGAAGTTTAACATGCCAGTTAAAAGATAAAGTGTAAAAATGCGCTGATGAGTTCATCTGCATGCCGCGTCTATACGCTGTGGTGAACAATAATGCTCTGAGCCAATACATTTTGTCAAATGTATGACATGTATTACCTGTAGGAACATATTGCTTATACTCGTCCATGTTTTTGACGGAATATATAATTTACATGCTCGGTAATAGTGAGGACGGGCATCATTGTGTGTGTCCGTGCTTTGTTCAGGTTAACAATTGACTTGTCCTTGCATGTGTTTGTGACGGGTGCCACCTGTATGGCAGAATACGCTCACCTTTCGCGAACACCCGTTGGATGGCCTGAACCACTTCGGATTTTTATCCCACATCAGTCTGATACACCGTAATATAACTTAAATACTGTTCAAAGTGGTGTTTAATGCGATCACCGTAGTGTATTACTGCAACTGTCCCAATTTTGTGTAGTGATGTTATGTAATATGTAAAATAAAGCATATTCAATTATCCAATTGATTTGATTAGAATATACTTGCGTCAGTGTATTTTATTAACGCCCAAAACCGTATTTGTTAAACACATATAATAACAGATCATATACACGCATTGTGCCTTGACTTACTATTAGCTTTAATAGGCCATTCCGGAATAAAATAGTTCCCCCCAAAGCGAGGAACTTCTGTTTTAGTTTGTTTACAAGAAATGTATTCCAAAAAATATCCTCATTAGATGAGAAGGTCCGTTAAGAACTACCTCAGTAAGTCAAGCACAATGACAGAGCGTCGTAATACATTTACATCAAGTACAAAATGGCCGACACGATAAACGTGACGGGAGATATATCCGAAGTTGTTAATTAACCTGTGGCGATTTCAAGCCTTTGTCATCACTGATCAATTGGCCGATCATTGAAAGGTAATTGTAATGATGTGTCAAATAGATACTAAGGTAAATTCATAGATTGCTGTAGATTGTCACTACGATAGTTTGGATTGTTTGGTGGTTTTTTTTCTCTAGGATGGGTATCCTTGAACGGGCATGCAACCAAACTCTATGACTTATCCCAGAGTATGCTAAGACGCTACGTTCAAAATTAAAGGGTCTAAATGATGAAAAACAACGCTTCTGTATGAATTCGTACCTGGGAATTCCCAGGGATTCCCCAGGAATGTGGAAGTAGTCAGTGTTTACGCCTTTTCAAGAATACAGTCACCTGATAAACGTCATGTGACCCACCTCTCGTCCTATGGAAAAGCCGTATATCGTGTAAACTTCACATTACAAAATTTGTTACTGTTATAACCAAATGAAACACAACCCATTATCCGATAGAGGTAAGTGTGCATAGCGGAGGGATATGTTATCTCAATAAACTTGGTAGCATGGTTTGGTTTGACTTCTTGGCGCGTGTCTGAATTCCATTAACATGTTACATATCCTAAAACTGACTAATCAGCAAATCTCGCTGCACTGCGCGCGACAGATACTAGAGCATGGCGTGCCAGAAATACGAAACCTAATGCTTCCGAAAAGAAGCCTTGGGCATCACGTGCGTCGGGGGACCAGCACCATCTGATTGGCCGTTAACAGTTGTACAAGGCGGAGCAAAAAGCATCGTTTTTCCGTCCATTTTACGCTTGAAAAACTCGACGCTTTTCCGGACACTTTCTAGACGCTAACCAATTAATCAATTTTAATGAATTTTTAGTCGTTTTTCCGTCCAATGACCATATACGGAAAAAAAACCGACGTTTTCGTGTTTGCAGTGTGAGCTAGCACTATAAATCGGCATCAGTCCGGACTAGTACAAGCAGCCACACAAACACACACACGTACATGCACGTCGCTATATAAGTGCAATAATCTTGGACGTGACGTTAAACCCAATTTCACCTCACCTCATCAATACCATTAAAATGTAGCAATACAACATTCAGATAACGTAGCCAGATACCCTGGGTTGTTTTGAGAAGATGATGTCCACTTATATAACATACGCATGACTATTTTCGTAAATGGGATACAAGAAGCCTTGATTAGCTTGCTAAAATAAAGTTATTGAGTACACAACCCTGCTTCTGTGTTCTTATGGGTGATAATAAAATTATATGTAGTTTTCAAACTTACGCGTACAGACAAGTGTGTTTATTTCTTCATTAACTGCTTTCAGCTGTAGAATTAATGATATGGCCAATATGATTTTAAACGTTAGCATTGTATCAGAGTCACAGAGGAAGTAGAGACAGGGTTATTAATTGTAGGTGTAATATGGAGAGCCTAAGAGAAAAATCAAATCTGATCATGTGTTTATATCAGTATGTTACACACATAATTTTAATAAGGCGGAACACTTTGTACCATACACATGAATACTCCAGTATTTTATGAACACTTAAAGAACGCCATTGCTGTTATCCGGGCCTCGGAAATAACCGATGTTGCACAAATCAATGTCCAGTGTCGCTTTCCTCAGGTGTCACAGAAAGCGATGATCGTGGCTTAGGATCTCTATGAGTTTGACTTAACGCTCATTAAAACAGTATTTCAGTTTTTAATCAGCCTTCACCTTAATGATGGTGTAACGACTAAGTGTTTTCGCTATTTATCACTTTGGTAAATTCCTCGAGCACGGGTTTCGATGGAGCCTTGTATTCTTCCAAGGGTATACTGTAGATTCAGATACAACATCTGAATCACGTCTTAAGTGGTGCAAAATGGTACCTCAGTATCCTGTGTTCGCTGTGATATATGTCAGCTTGTGTCCTGTACTTCTGGACAATGGGTTGTCGTGGGTTTTCCATTTTATTATTTCCACACACCCGCTTCCCAGACACAAACACGTCAATCATGTTCCTGTCATCACCTGTTTAGAAAAATAACTGCTCGGTTATATATTGTCATGGGGATATTTAAGAAAATAAATAGTAATCGTCGGCAAGTCGTCGAAAATGATATTGCAAGGTTACAATTCTAGCAAGATTTTCTTTTATTTGTGTTTACCCATACCACTAAAGGATTGCCTACTTGGTCTAGAGGGAGAAAGATCCCACTGAGAGCGGAAGGTCGGGGTTCCCTCACTTGCCGCGCCATATCAAAATACGTTACTAATTGACCTGGTAATCCAAGTGACTTTTTTGTGGTGACCACAAAGGTTTCAAATATTGACTTCCTTGCACACGAAGAGGTCTTCCCTTGAATTACCGCCATGGCTGGAATAATAGTTTCATACCAATACCTTCATAATTCCATCTTATGGTGTTAAGTTGACATTATTAACATGAAACACCTTGCCTAAATATGGCACCACCTTGCCTAACTATGGCACCACCTTGCTTAAACATGGCACCAACTTGCCTAAATATGGCACCACCTTGCCTAAATATGGCACCACCTTGCCTAACTATGGCACCACCTTGCCTAACTATGGCACCACCTTGCTTAAATATGGCACCAACTTGCTTAAATATGGCACCCCCTTGCCTAAATATGGCACGACCTTGCTTAAATATGACACCACCTTGCCTAAATATGGCACCCCCTTGCATAAATATGGCACCACCTTGCCTAATTATGGTACCCCCTTGCCTAAATTTGGCACCACCTTGCCTAACTATGGCACCACCTTGCTTAAATGTGGCACCACCTTGCCTAAATTTGGCGCCAACTTGCTTAGATATGGCACCACCTTGCCTAACTATGGCACCACCTTGCCTAACTATGGCACCACCTTGCCTAAATATGGTACCACCTTGCATAAATATGGCACGACTTTCATGTATGTAGCCGAATACAACTCTAGATATAAATACAACAGTAACACCGATCTCTTGACCCTGCCATAAAATGATATTTTATCCCCTGGCGAAAAAAACATGCGACATAGTCGTTTGTTTGGAAGGGTTTTGGATGTCGGAATCTTTATAGTAGCTGACATCCATAAAAAACGTTCTCAAAATGCACACCAATGCCTATAAAAGGTGTATTATTATATTTCTCCATTCTGCACAAATCTGTTCCATGAGCAAGCCTGAAAATTCCTATCATATCCTATATCCTATTGCATTATAAGGATAATTTATTCATTGCCTTTCCTTACCTAAGAACAGAAACTTCTGAAGTACATCAGAGAAAGTGTCAGTAGAAAAGACATCAAACGGCGAATCCGCCACCAATGGGTCGACCAAAATGGCGTCAAAGTCCTTTCCCACGACAAAGCTGCCAGTCGTCGCCTCCAGACCCAGTACTTAAATGAAATAACCAGAAAAGGCTTTTAACATAACAAATACGCTAAGGGGGTGAAAGTGCTTTCAATCATTTGTGATGTGTTTGTTGTTTAAGGGCGTTGTCATCGATATACAATTTTATTTCATGATGGCTGACATATAACAGTCTCGAGCGCTGATAGCACTATGATGACATTAAATCAATCATGTCAACGGGCCTGACCAGCCTTTTCAGTTACTCGCTCATTATGAGCCTATGGTTGTGGGGATCCTTTCCTGTGGATAAAAGTTAAGATAACTCCATATTGAGGTAATTTATCGTGATCAATATCATCCACTGTAACCACTGGATATTCATTTCACTCATGAGGACCCGCGAAGATCCGGGGTGGAATAGGTCTTCAGCAACCCATGCTTGCCATAAAAGGCGACAATGCTTGTTGGTCAGGCTCGCTGACTTGGTTGATGCATGTCATCGTATCCCATCGTATCGATGCTCATGATGTCAAACACCATATTGTCTGGTAGAGGCTCGATTATTTACGGACCGCCGTCATACAGCAGATATTGCTGAATGTGTCGTTAAACAAACAACAAACAACAAACAAACAAACATCACTCATGAGCACTGTGAACCTTATTACTGCGGGTGGTATTAGTATAAATTGTATAATATGCGTTCCTATCAATATCGAGAGAGAAGTAGTTTAAGAGTGCATTACTCGTTAGTCGTTCCAATTCCAATGAGAATATTTTCACCATGTTCCACCAAATTACACAATTTAAAATCATTAAAAATTTAACGTGACAAATCGTTTATGAATTAACAATTTGTCATGCTATATTTTAATGATCTGCGCTATTGAATTAATCTGTTATTCTTTAGTCTCATATTCAACGAGGTTGTCCAGTAGTATGTGAGTAGTGCGACAGTTACTACATTGTATCATTATGCTCTGGATTCTTATGTCAATATATTATATTGCATTATGATGTAAGTATGTGATGCACGAGGCGGTTAGTTGTGGGAACTGTTTCTAGTTCAGATGTCCCAGAGCCTATGATATATCTTAATATTTAATCTGGAGAAATACTGCGTACGAATTCAAATTATAGATAGAGACTTCAGGTATGTGAGTGAGTGAGTTGGGTTTAGCGCAGCTTTGAACATTATTCCAGCTATATCACGGCGTGTCAGCTTCATGTGGGAGGAAAGCAGGTCTCAGACGTTTACCACTTCGGTGAAACCCACGATCACGGGTATATTGCTGGCAAACCTAGAAGCTTAATTGGGGCGAACCGGGATTCGAACCCACAATCATAGGTTTCTGGCGTGCCCAAGGGACGCAACTCTGCACAGCGAATCGCGGCACCTTAGACGACTCGGCCACCCGTGCCCCCACTTCACTCTGTTGAATCAAGGGAAGAATGCGTAGTGGATATTGCTCTAAATGTCTCCAAACTGTTATAAATGTAATGGTCATATCAGATCCTAACCAAATGCACTGAAAAAGAAAATATTTGAAAACTTTCGTTGAACCTTCACTTCCACCTAATGTTGCAAGTCGAAATAGTTCCTGGTATGTCAAGGCCTTGTAGCTTCCTCCATCAGTTTGAATCGCAAGAGTTTTTGAAATCTGACAGGCAGAGCGTAAAACATCCAAAATGGAGCTGCTGTATCCTCCAGCCACGTCTGAAAAGAAGAAAAGGGCATTGTGTATTCATGACAAAATGCCGTTATTAAAACATCTCTTCGTTTCTCCATTGGCTTCAAGAAGGAATTATTATTTTTATTTCATTAATTAACGTTTTCGCACTGTACACATTATTGGTTTCTTTATTGGTTTGCGGCGCACTCAGCAATAGTCAGGAGACAGGATGGCGGTCTGTAAACAATGGATGGAGTATGGCCCAGACAATCCAGTGACAATTCAGCAAGTCACGGAGGTCGCCTCATACGACAATCTGCAATTGTAGTACACTGGTATATGGTGTACTGCATGCATATGAATTGCGTATTCGATGGATGATATGAGTTAGGATGTTTGTCTGTGCGATATACACTACTGCCTAGAAGTTCATTCCCCTTACACGCATGGGCAACGCGTTACGCAACCCGTGTGCACCCCGTTGGTCACTCGTGTGGAACCCGTCCGCCACGCGTGTGATACCCGTTTGCAACGCGTTGAACACGGATGTGCACCCCGTTCGTCACTCGTGTGCAACGCGTGTCACACTCATTAGAGGGGGAACAAACTTTTGACCAAAGGAGGACCCATGTTTAGCTGAACCTGGAGGTGGTAACAAGGAGATAACCTTTGGATTTCCTGAGGAAAAATGTTAACACACATTTTATTATATGTACTTGCTGATGTCTCATTTTTAGACATGATTACTGATGTGGCTTCTACATGATGTTTTGCGATGAAGTTAAGAGAATACATGTTCCTGTTAAATGTTATTGCTATTTAAATGGGTTTTTTTGTGAGTTGACATTAAACGTCTGCAGCACGACTTTCAGTGATCATGTTTATGAGGTTTGGTGGAGCATTGTTTTTATTAGACCCTAATTACTTTATGATGCTTGGGTCTCTTTGTCTCAGCTCTATAGTCGTGATGCTGGGAAAGGGCAGCATTTAATTAATGAGAGTAGGTTATATCATGGAGGATACACTTGAGGGAGGAGGTTCTACTAATTACCGTACATCAGGAAAAGACCTGTAGACGTGAGCGCGGGGTTGTGTTTAAGATGGCGTTGCATAATGGCCGCCAGGAGTGGTAAACATTGAGCTGAAGCAGTGTTGTTTTCACGGGCTTGTTGAATAAATTCCCAGCGTTACTGTCCATATATCTTCTACTTGATCCTAGATACATCATTCTGGCATTTACAATTTATATTCTTCAACGTATATTAATGGTTTACTAGTCATATATTTTAGAGTCTTTGTCAATACTGTTCAATGACTGTTCCCTACACCCATCAATATCATAATTAATGAACATTAGTTTATTGTATGGATTTATATAAAGCTCTCACTAAGTATATGTGTTACATGCATGACAGATGGGATTAAGGGAGAAAGGAAATATTTTCCTGAACGTTTCCAATAACTAGTGGAGGAAATTGGAAATGGCTGAACCTGTAGATCACATATCTCATAGGGTAACATTCTAGAATAAAATAGAATAGCTAGAATGTTTCATATCTACAAAACTGTATATGCGTCAGTGTGGTTTATGTTAACATATGTGTAATGCTTATTCACGCTTGGAGTGCCAGACTGAAATTGAACATTATGATAGCGTCAGCAGGAATAATAGAGGTCATAAGACGTGGCATATGAAGATCATACATAAATATCTTTCAGTTACATAGGCAGCAGACTAGATTATTTACAGCAATACAGTTCAAATATTGTGTTCAATAAAAGAAAACGTTCATTTTTAACACTCTTATTTTTGTACTATTTAACAAACTGTGGACTTTGAAGACATTTTCGCTCATTGCAATAACATCAAGGTAAAAATCATATCTTTCTCTGAAATCCACGGGCATAGTTGCTGTCAAACATAAGAACATAATCAGGGCGGCAGGTGTTGACTTGTCGTGTGCCTTAAAGTGAGTTTAAACATGTCAAAAGCGATTGACCCTACAATATATGGCCATTTACTCCAACATTCTAACTGTCAATCGTCTTAACAGGATCATAACGTTTGTTCTAATATCGACGACCTGTCTCTATGTCTTAAGTTGTTAATCGGTAACTGCGGTCCAAATTTATCAACTTATTCATCTATTGTTGCAAACTTGCAATTATTTCGCCGCAATATAACTGAATAAATGCTGATGTGACGTGACATATAAACTTACCCACAGACAATGCATTTTCCCAGAGAGTGTAGCACAATTTTATCAAAGTTTTATTTACAATTTGAAAAACTATAATAATATGAATATTAAAATTCATCATCACTTTTGAAGTTTACTAAAATGTCACCAGTTGGAAGATGTCACAGATAAACAAGGATTCCAACTAAGTTTGATCGTCACAGATCTTTCCCCAGTTTGCCAGCACAATGGAGAGGATTAACAGTTACTGTGAGTGAGCATGGTTTTACGCCGCTTTTAGCAGTTATACAAGTTATACAGAAGTCATGCCAAAACGCTCACAGTCGTTAGTGAGTAAACTCAACTGAGGATTATACAAGTATCCATCACAACCTTTGAAAGCTAACATGTGAATAAACTCAGTTCTCTGAAATTTACATAATTTAGGCACTTGCAGTGGCCAATTAACAAGTAATCAGTGAGATAGTATAGAAATACTGGGAACGCTAAACAACTTCATTGTAAATAGACAAATGCACCTGTGAATGGTCAAGGTTTTAAATACCAAGTGAAACAAAGACGAGGTGCCAGCCTACACTGGAAATACTGTATGCTGCATGTCCAGCCTCCATCAACACCTCCAGTGATCTTTTCGCGATTCCGAGCCTTGCGCATAACCATTGTCATGACCTGGTTGAGTGACTTCCTTCCTTCAACGTGACAGGATTACCCACAGAGAAAGAAAGGATTAAAATCCTATCCAAATGGAATAAGCACTCACAACCAATTTCCTCTGATAGTAAACTGTCACCTTTGGTATCCCCAACAACACTCACCAGGGTGATTGGGCAAATGTAAAAAACACAAACCCTAACGCGGTTCTGTGTACATGGTCACACTCGGTGATTGTGAAGATCTAAAATTCTATCAACAGTGAGACAAAATGGCTGTTCATATTCACTTCCAATATCCTCATAGAATTAGTGATAAATGTAAAGTCCCACACAAAACTTTCTCTTAATAATTCTACAAACACTGCAAACACGAAAACGTCGTTTTTTTCCGAATATGGTCATTGGACGGGAAAACGACTTTATTTCGACGCTTTCAAACCATCGTTTTTCCGTCCAAATAACGTCGTTATTTGACATAGGAATTTACTGGGAGAGAACGATATCATCAAGCTCCTCCCTTTCTTGATTGACATTGCAACAGCGTCTACCGGTATTCCTACCTCTCATATTTCATTGGTCAGTTCTCGCATGTTAGATTACAGGCCCGAGATTGACGCTGTACTCGAAGCGCTTAGCGGAAGTACTGCAATCAATCGTTCTGCGCATGCGGATTGCTTAATGCCTTGTCCAACTTTTCTGTTCTTTGCATGCGCTATTTCGCGTATTGTTTCCACTATGTCACCACTTTTTGACAATGATTCATAAACACAGTCTCGTGATAAGTTCGGAATCGTACAATGTCGTTTTAATTTATGGCACGTACTTGATCGGCACGCATTTCCCATTAACTAATACAATGATAACGGTAATAATTTTAGTCAAAATAAGTAGGAAAGCGCAAGGCTCAGGAACGTCTGAGTATAGGAAAAGGATTAATACTTTCGAAAGTTATATTATCGTCAAATACGCAAACGAATATCAACCGGCTTTTAAAACTTATTTTTGCAGAAGGTGATCTTGGTGTATATTGCCAGATATTATATGCATATACATTTTTCCGATATTGCTTATTTCAATGTTTATTAATAGTTTTAAGGTTCGTCCGCCTAATTGGCGGGATTCCACTTTCTCATTTGTACATGACACTTAAGCAGTGTCCTGTTACTGTAAACAGATTAGTTTCAAATTCCAAACTGGACATTTATACTACGAGATTGTAAGCCTAACGCTTACTCACCGGTAGAACGTAGACAATATCGCTAATAGAGATATCACGTTTTTGAATGTTAATACTTAAGACAAACACTCATTATTTTTTCAGTGACGATATAACACTTATACACGTTTATTGGTGACTTTCATCAGTGTTGCTATACTTTTTAATAACTTTGTTTTCACATATACAAGTAGCAATACCCGACTAGCCTGTCATACTTACTTACTGGGCAGTTTTCAATCTTGTACTGACTTACTCTGACGTTCCTGAGTGAAGCTTATTGGGTTGGGTGTTATACCCCGTTTTTCTGGTAATCCTATTATACTTCATTTTTATCTAATGACACCCTGTTCTCTGGATCACGGCTCCGTGACCTTCCATAACAATTAAGATGAACATTCAGATCAAGAACATGAATGAGTTTGTTTTGACGCCACAGTCAATCAAAGACCAATGCTGTGCGGTTTGATTACACACTTCTACCAGGTCGAACATCGTGGATCTTTATTTTCTACTTAAAGAGAATCATAGTTCATATGCTAATCCATCTACGAAAACTGTCCCGCTCAAGATGAACTTACTTGTTGTTAAATCCATCATCTATCCCCTCACTCTCACCCCTACGCCACCCCCCCACCCCCCACCCCCACCCCCCACCCCCCACCGTTCCCTCACACACACATATACACACACGCACGCACGCACGCACGCAAAACGGACCTCAATGACCTGGACAGGAAATACTGCTGATAACCTCTGGTCAACACCGCCGCGCTACCACAGAATATTCTTCCTACTCGGAGGGGGCATTCTTAGTAGCTTCAAACGCGCTGAAATGTTTTCGCCTTGCATCCAAGATGGTGAACAGCTGAAATCGTATGATATTTGGCCATTTTAGGCCGATATGTCTTTTTGGATTACCAAATAAAGTCAATTCATGGTTACACGGTTGTGAAGAAGCTTACAACTTTATAACACTCATTCATCTCCATCTCCAATAGAGCTACTCGTACACACATAAAGTTGTAGTTATTATGTCACTGTTTTATTTCTTTAAAAATATATTACGTGTTCATCAATAACAATTAAGATGAACATTCAATTTCCGATACAAGTAAATGAATAAGTGTGTTTTACGCCACAATCAGTCAAAGTGATATTAAAATGGCAGGCATTTTCTTTTGCCCGGTTGTGTATATATATATCCTGGGAATATAATTTTAAACAGTTTGAGAATTGGTGCCGTTATTTTCTTTTACTGTTCTAATATTTGATACTGTACAGCAGTAATGAATAGTTTCCTAGACAGAAAGCATGATCTATGAAATGGCTTCTGGTAGTTCGTAACACTATTTGGACCAAATCAATCGCATTAAAATCAGATCTTAGTTCTCGCTACCGCTAAACAAAGATCTGAGGACATCCCATTACGGGTCACGTCAGGCCTACTATGCGCGAACTTTGACCGACAAAAGGAATTACCAATCAGAAGGCAGCTTACAGCACAAATTTCAAATTGGCGACTACGCTTCGAAACATATTTTGACAAATTCCCGATTACAAATTTGAAATCTGAACAAAAAAACATTCTGGATTGGCTAATATATGGTCTAGATTGTAAGGATTCAGTCGTTAAACCCGTTACTATCGTTCAGAATACCCCGTGTTAAA